CCCATCGCGCACCAGCAGCCCGCTGCCGCGGCGCCGTTGGCTTCGATGATGGGCCCAACCCCCGTGCCCAGCATCGTCCTGCGCGGGGGGCGGTAGCTCGAGCAGATGGCCCTGAGCAGCACCATGGGGAACTCCGTCGCGACCGCCTGGCCGTAGAGCGCGTCGCGGCTGATCATCTCGTAGTACTTCGTGAGGTCGATCGCCAGCGTGCTGGATACCATGCCTGCCCCCCTCGCGAAGGCTGTCGTCATGTTGCGCACGAACCCAGCCTTGTCGCACGAGCGGTCGGAGGTGCCCCAGTGGAAGGACTGGTCGATCTTGCACCCCCATTCTGCAACAATAGGCTGGCGCAGCTTTGACCAGACCCGAGTCCAGAGGCTGGCCAGGATGATGGGCCGCACCGATCCAGGCGGGGGCTTCGGCAGGAAGACCACCATCAGCACCCACAGCGAGCATCTCGTCGGCTGCCTCTCCCAGGCTTCCACGATGTCCAGGAACGCCTGTCGGTAGTGGCGCGGCAGCCACTGAAGCTGCCGTGGGTGCAGGCGGTCCCACCCAAGGCCTGCGCCCTCCCCATAGGATGCCAGCACGTAGTCCAGCGCGTCCATGGTGATGGGCGGGAGGTCATGCCAGGCGCCCCCTGCACCTCTCGCCCAGAGCCGTGGGTCTGAGTCCCCTTGCCTGTCAGGTTGGACCCAGAGGTTCCCCCATTCCTTGATCAGCACCTTCATGGCGGTATCGCCTGCCACTGGGAGTCCAGGGTCGCTCTCGTCGTCCTCGTGCGCGATCACCGTCGACGGGCTCAGGCTGCCGTCCTTGATGAAGCGGCATACCTTCCGGCCTCCTAACTTGGTGGCTGCTTCCTGTGCCCACTCTGTCTCTTCCTGGATGCGCTTGGCCTTGCCCCTCCTCTGGATGGAGGCTACGTGGTCATGGAGGTCGACCAGGAGGGGGGGGGTAGCCGTGCTAGTCCAGCTTCTGGAATGCTCGCGCAATGGAATGCTGGCCCCAGGCAGCGAGCGGCCCAGACGTCGGCCACTTCGCCTTGTCGAACACGAGCGCACGCACTCAGCGGACCTGGCGCTCAAAGCGGGAGAACCTGACCCAGCCGTTGTCAACATGGTGCCCGCGGAGAGTGGCCGCCTTCCTGCAAGGCGCTAGCAGGCCACTTGCGGTACTCGGCGCTGGACGTCTCATTCAGCGTGTCCTCCCACTCCTGGATCAGGGGAACAGTCTTCACCTGCAGGCCTCTGCTTCTTGCCACTCTGCACCGCTTGTGATCTTCCAGCTGGTGAAGCCCGTCAAGGTAGTCCTCTTGCCATGGCATGCCAGAATTCAGGGGCTTCCTCAACATCAGTGGGTCCAGCCTTTGAGCACCGCGGCCATTCGTCTTCAGCTAGCTCGGGCGGCGCTGCCTGTGCAGGAGGTGGCAGGGCCAACGGGTACGGACTGGGGTAGACCGCCCTGGTGACCGTGGCTCCTCTGGCACGGGCCCTTCAGCTCGATGGTGGCGGGTGAGCGCGGCGAGGCCGGGGCGCTACTCAGCACCTTGGCCACGCCGACCCGACTGGCGAGGGCCCCGGGCACCGTGGCGCAGTCGCATTCGCGCCTGCCGCAAGTTGGACCCCACGGACGCACGAGAGCTCTTGAGGCCTGCTTGGCCCAGCTGGCCAATTCGCCGGGCTCGACGTTCCAGTCCGCCAGGATGACCCACGGCCGCCCGAGGCTGCCGACCCAGGACTGCATGGCCTCGAGCAGCGCAATGTTGTTGTCGCCCGCGACCCCGATGCCGTCCACCATGTAGGCCGAGACGAAGAAGATCGGGAAGCCCAGGCCCGCGCTGAGCTTCGCGACTCTTGCCCGATGGGGCCCCAGCACACTGCACCCCGTGGGCTCATCCGCGCTAACCGCCGCCATTGCAGTGTGGACCGCCACTCCTCCAGAGCTGTCAAGGGGCCCAGGGCCCGTGTCCTGCGCGAGGCCTCCAGAGATCTCAAAGCCAGCACGTCTCGCCCAGGTCGCCGCAGACTTCAGCGTAGCGCCGTGCCTGACACGGTGCTCCTGCAAGCCGACCACATCGAACGTCATCTTTCCGTCCCTGCTCCACTTCAAAAAGGCGCGGCCGCTTGCCCAAGAGTTGGTGTTGGCCGACACACTCCAGAGCTTGTCGGGCGCCCTGTCCACATCGATGCGCTTCTGACCGCCTGCGCTGGGGGCAGGGGGAACCCCTGCACCTCGAGCTGCACTGTCCCTCGACCCACCGACGGAAGGTCGCCGAGCACGGGTATCCAGCCCACCTCGCCGAGGCCCAGCTCCGCTGCAGACCTGGGGCCCCGACACCCCCGCGCCCTCCTCCGAAGCGGACGCGGTCCTGCCAGGCCTGCCTCTCGCACTCGACGCCTCCGACGACGACCTGGCAGGCGCCGCGGCAGCGGCCCAGCGGGCGGCGCCAGCAGCGCGTCTGCCAGGCACCGAGCCGAGCTCCTCCTCCGCCTCGGTCATGGAGCGTTCGTGCCGCGCCACCTGCTCGTCCCACTCATGCGCGTCGGACTGGGCCAGTCTACGCACGGCGGCGTGGTAGTTGGCTCGCGTGCGCCTTCGTGCGGCCCACGCCTCCTCGCAGAAGTCTTGCGCCATCCTGAGTCTGCCCACGCCCATGTTGTCGATGCCTGCCGACCGAGCAGCCTCGGAGACGAGTGGCGTCCTCGTGCCGTGCATCAAAGCGTCGGCCATGTAGGACACGCACAGGCGCAGCCAGTGCGCTCTATCCCCAGCTTCGTCAAGCACCGAGACGTCCTGGAGCCAGAACGTGGCGTAGGCCCTCAGCATCCTCTCGAGCGGCATGCGCGCCGACGCAGCCGCTCACCTCGCAGGGTCTTGATCTTTGGCCTCGCCTCCATGAAGCCTCCAGCGACTCCACGACCCGCAGCAGCTCCATGAGAAGTAGGCCTGCCTTCATGTGGCGGTTTCTGCCGCCCCTCCGCCGATTCCCGCTCGCAGGATCCCCCACGTGGGTCCAGGGGCTCGAGTGAACCCAAGCCCTGCGTGGGTTCCGTCTGCGAACGGGTCTCCAGCTTCTCAGGGACAGTGAGTGCGCCGCTCGGCGCGGAAGTCGAAGCACACGACCCCGCATGTGATCTCCTTGTGCCATTGCTCTCTTCGTTGGTTCTCCTAGCCTGAGGGGTGGCAACCTTGAGTGCTTCGCGTCGCTCCATGTCGGAGGAGAAGCACCAGCCTGGGCGGCGCGCAGGGATGAGGCACCCCAGCTCAGGCCACTCCAAGTCGCATTCGCTGGACCCCCAGAACTTCTCGAGGTCCGCCCGGCCCTGGCGCAGGACCCCCTGTCCGTGGTCAAACACGCTGGCTTTTGGCTGCCAGCGCCTGCGCGTCCAGGAACTTGGGGGCCACCCGCTTGTCGCTTGATCGAAGGCTGGGCGGGGGCCTCCCAGCTTCTCCACCTCAGCGGCCACATGGTCGGCCAGGTCCTGGTCCACCCCGAAGCCTGGCACCTGAAATTCAATGCCTCCGCCGGCTGCGCCGCCGCCTTCAGGGGCCCCAGGGCTATCAGCAGCAGGAGACCCGCCAGCGCTGGGAGCCTCCCTGGCTGCGGCTGCAGCCCGTTCAGCGACCAGGAGCTTCTTCTTGGTCTTGGCGGCGACGGCGCGGGCGCCCTCGAGGCTCGCCCAGCCGTCTTGCATGTCCTCGTGCTGGCCAAGGGCGTCGGGGGGCAGCGCCAGCTGGTCGAGGAGAGCGACCGTGTCCACCTTGGTGCCCATGGCAGCAACAGCGCACCTGGTCTGTTCGATCGCCTGCAGCTCCGCCAGCTTGGCCTCGTGCTCGCGGAGCTGCCGCAGCTCCGCGTCATAGGCCTCCTGCGCGGCCCGCAGCTCCTGGGCTTGCTCCTCCGCGCGTCCCTTGGCCTTCTCCACCTGCTTGCTCTTGTCCGCCTTCCTATCGAGCACCTGGGTCAGCGGCTTCGAGGCGATGTCGGCCACCTCCTGCTTGGGCGGAGCAGGGGCGACCACTGAGAGCTGGCCTTCGGTGAGGCCGTCCTTGCCAGCCGCCACCAGCGCCTTGTTGGTGGCCTCCAGCAGCTCGGCGACACTGAGGCCCGCGACCTTCGCCTCACTGCCGTTGCCCCCGTCGCCCTTGCTGCCGAAGTTGGACGACCAGTTCTTGGCTTTGTCCCAGTGGGCACCGCGAGCTTGAGCCTTCGGCTTGGCCTTGGCCTTGCCTTGGGGCTTGGCGGCTCCTGCAGCGCCTCCTCCACCATCGCGCCACGGCGCTGCTCCGAGGCTGAGGGGCTGGCATGACTTCAGGGCGGCGAGGATGCTGGGCGGCGCCTTGGCCCCGCACGCTCTGCACTCCGCCCTGCTGATGTAGTTCGGGCAACCGCCGCACTTGCCCGTGCATTTCCACTGTACCGCCGTTGAGGCCGGCGCGATACGATGGGCCAACCAAGCTCGTCTCCGCATCAGTTGGCTCGCAAGCGCGAGCCGTTCTGAAGCGCGCGCTTGCAAGCTCAGGGCAAACTGCCTGAGCCAGAACGGGTGGGGAGGAGGAGGAGGAGGAGGAGGAGGAGGAGGAGGAGAAAGAGGGACAGAGGGACAGAGGGACAGAGGGACAGAGGGACAGACGGACAGAGGGACAGAGGGACACAGGGACACAGGGACACAGGGAGGAGGAGGAGGAGCAGGAGGAGGAGGAGGGACAGAGGGAGGAGGAGGAGGAGGAGGAGGAGGAGGGACAGAGGGAGGAGGAGCAACCTAGAAGGGGGGCAAGTAGGGGGTCGAAGGCCCAGGCCGGAGCGGCGCGCGGATGCGCATCACCCC